AGGTTGAAACTTTTTCTGGTGTCTATAAGAAGCTTACAGGCAAGGATGTTAACTTTGAGTTCCCAGAGTTTCAGTTGTAAACAAAAATGATTAAATAAAACTTTCACAGTATTGTTTTAGGCGTCTTCTTCAAAATTTCAGAGGTGTCACTGTATAACTGTCTACATTACCAGCAGCTCCCTGCGTAGGCTGGAAGGTTTGAACAGAGAGGGTCCCTGTGGTTATACCAGGCAGTTAGATGCACGGGAGGGATATATTTGTATCCGGGGATGTTGTAAGAGGTATAATCCTATGGAATTGCCCCAAGTGGCTGAGTATTGGCACTTGGACAAGTTCAACCTCTAGACCACACAGGTACTGGAGCCGTGGATGACAGGATAACTTAGCCTACGGCCTGGTCCCAGCGCCGGGCTCTACCTGAATGCTGGGTCTCCTGGGAAGCCTGCCTAAAAGCCCAGCCTAAGAGAAAGGACAGGTTTCAAGATTTTTTTTTTTATTATTTATTTGAGACAGAACAAGAGAGAGAGCACATGAGAGGGGGGAGGGTCAGAGGGAGAAGCAGGTTCCTTGCTGAGCAGGGAGCCCGATGCGGGACTCGATCCAGGGACTCCAGGATCGTGACCTGAGCCGAAGGCAGTCGCTTAACCAACTGAGCTGCCCAGGCGCCCTGAGAAAGGACAGGTTTCAGAAGCACCTGAAATCAGGCCAGCAATGGTTCCTTGGAAACTGTGATAGAAAGTTCTCCAAGAGCAAAATCTGATAGTGTTCTCACTGAACTTTTTTATTGTGAAAGACCCACGTACAGAATTTACCATTTTATCCTCTCAGTTCAGTGGCCGCTAGTGTACTTGTCTCCGCTGTGCAGCAGACCCTGGAGCACCTGATGGTGTTGGAAACTGCTGGTGCAGCAGCCCCTCGTCCCTCCTTCGGATTCCCTGAATTCACACATTGACCATCGGTCCTAGGTAGACGGGACCAGTCAGGTGTGAGGAGGTGAGACATTGTAGTCTACGTGTAGCCGCCCGACTACTGAGTGGAAGCACAGCCGATGATGGACTTGCGTTTGCGTCTTTCCTAAAGGGTCTTCGGAGAAGCCTTTCATCCACATGGCAAGTCTAACGGACACCTGGTGAGCTGTGTTCTCGTCACCCAGCTCCAGCTGGTGCTGTCTTACCGACCCTGTTGAATCTGCTCCCACCCCCTTTCTTTGCTGGGGATTTTTGAAGCAATAGACGTGTTAAGTTTAGTAGGAGTCTTTTTTTAGCAGATAATTATTAAAATCCAGTATCAAATGAGCCAGTTTTTAATTTTTATTTTTTTATGTTCAATTAGCATACATCATTGATTTTAATGTAGTGTTCAACGATTCATTAATTGCGTATAACACCCAGTGCTCATCACATTATGTGCCCTCCTTAATCCCCATCACCTGGTTACCCCATCCCCCCTCCCTTCTGTGACCCTCAGTTTCAGTTCCCGGAGTCCAGAGTCAGGGTTTGTCTCCCTCTCTGATTTCTTCCCATCCAGTTTTCCCTCCCTGCCCCTGTGGTCCTCCACGTTATTCCTTATGTTCCACATATGAGTGAAACCATATGATAATTGACTTTCTCTGCTGACTTACTTCACTTAGCATAATCTCCTCCAGTCCTGTCCATGTTGATGTAAAAGTTGGGTATTCATCCTTTCTGATGGCTGAGTAGTATTCCATTGTATAT